TAACATGACAGCAAATGTACAACGTTTGTCGAAACGTTGTACATTTGCTGTCATGTTAAGCTTATATTAAAAGTTTTTCTTCATTACCCATTTAAGCCGCCTCCAGCCATTATTTTTCGATGACGAGGAACCCACTTTGAGACTTTAGTCATTTGTTGCTTGATAGTTAAATGTGTAAAATTAAACTTTGAAAAAAATAGCAGTGTTTGATGACACATACCGAATAATATAGCTAATTAAACAAAGTAAATTAAAAATGCATTAACCACAAATCATTCCTTAATTAGCAGCCCCAAGATATTTAAAACTTTATATACTGTGTCACCATGCTTAAAAAATTAAACACCCTAAAAATTTTCTTACAATTGTCATGATATAAATGTTTATCACCAAAAGACACTAACACAAAACATACAAGTATAAGGGAGGAAAATCATCGCTAAATAAAAAAGTTATGTAGGGCTGGCTACTGAACTTGACCAAACAAGACAGAGATGTAAGTGGATCACTTGATCGGCTGTTGATCACAAAGCACACTAAGCCGTCTCGACTTTACATGGAGAATAAAACGTCAACAGGAGAAGAGTATATTAGTAATTATAGAAAAGTATGAGTGAAAATAAATAAGATTGTAATAATATGTCAACCACACTATATATATATATATATATTTATCTGCTATATCCAGTTCCGCCCAAAAAATTATACCAGGAAAACCATTTAACATAAAAAAACACAGTTTGTTGCACGTGTAAGAATAATGTTTAAAGGTTTTCTACAACTCCAATAAAAATATCCATAAGCGTTAGGTGTCGTAGAAGTGCAGGATGTCAGTCTGATGCAAAATAACGACTACGAAGGAGAAATTGAAATGTGTATTGTGGTTCCTAAGTTCGAATCCCTATACAGGGGCAGAGATAATTCAAAAGATGTTATAACAGGATCCATCTATACATGAGGCGATTTAAAAATGGTTTCATCAACTTAAATCGACAGAAAGCGTTTTACACAAGTAATAAACAAGATGGAACATTCCTCAGATGATAGATTGGGCGGGAGGTCAGATCAACTGGACCCTGTGTTCCACCGAACATCACGCCTATGTTGTTTTATTTGTTCGTTTGTTTATTATTTTTCATGAGGCCTCATAAGAGCCATAGTTTACACCAGTTAAATAACTCTTTCAATGTTGCAAAATAGTTGGCAAGAAGTTGAGTATATACAGTTATAACGCGATCATTGATGTTCATAAAATGTCATCGCGAAACAAGCGGGGTCGCGCTAAATCGGGGTTCAAGAATTTCTACCGGAAATTAACAAACAAGCAGATACGTAACAATAGCTATTTGACAATAATGAAAAGCAAAAAAATATAAGATTAGCTTAAATCTGACGGCCAAGTATTTTATATGTACGAAACAACAAAAGTTTGTAATATAATAATGTTTAATATATTTTCAAGTAGCTTATCATGTCATACTAATCTCTGTCTAATCAAAATTACAATGACATATTAATCCAAAGCAAAATAAGTTAGATAAATGATCAAAATTCTGTACACAAACTGTTGAGTTAATTCTGATAAAAAGCTTGTAAACTTTAGTTCAAATAAACCTAAATTATGAATGAAATATTATTCTGAAAATAACCTTTTTTCAACATAATTATAAATCTTATTCAGAAACAGTTTTTTGCTTCGTTGTTTATGCAAATATGAGTTGTGGGCCGGGCATGGCCAGGTGGTTAGGGCGCTCGACTCGTAATCTGAGGGTCGCGGGTTCGAATCCCCGTCACACCAAACATGCTTACCCTTTCAGCCGTGAGAGTGTTATAACGTGACGGTCAATCCCACTATTCGTTGGTAAAAGAGTAGCCCAAGAGTTGGCGGTGGGTGGTGATGATTAGCTGCCTTCCCTCTAGTTTTCTACTGCTAAATTAGGGATGGCTAGTGCAGATAGCCCTCGAGTAGCTTTGCGCGAAATTCAAAAACAAAAGAAACAAGCTTCAGTTGTGAGCCTGCCATTTTAATCATTCATTATACATAGAAATGAAGGCAGCACAGAGATAATAAAAACGAATGATGTACATAATATACGAAAACACATTCATGTATTTCGAAATTTATGTTTTATGATAGTTTCTATAAAATGTCAACGAGAAAAAAAAATCAAATTTACTTTCTCCCATAATGAACATAACTTATACTGAACACATTTATGAACATAACTTATACTGAAATCGGCTTTTGGCAGAACTAGCTAATTTTCTGCTTCGCTGTTACAAAACCTTATATTTTTAGGGATTATTTGAACTGAAATTATAGATGTGTGTGATGCACTTCAAAGAAGATTCAGTGACAACTGTTTCAATATAAGAAAAACAATAAATTGCTTTTCAGAAGTTTAAAATAACACTCAACTTCCAAGTTAACAACATAACAAAATGGACAAATGTATTTTTATTTATTGTTTACGTTAGACAATAAGACCTCCGGTGGCTCAGCGATAAGCTTGTGGACATATAATGCTAAAATTTTGGATTTGATAAGCAAAGTGGCAAAAGGTCAGATAACCGTTGTATAAATTTGCGGGTAAACAAAAACAGACGTTAAAAGAGCAGTAGTGAATACAGGGATGGGGTTCGGTGATTGGAATCCCGCCCTTTTCGATGCGAAATGCCCTCTATATGCAACATCTATATTTTTCATTATTTTTGGATTTTCTGTATGTGTGTCCTTTTACAGGCTAAACACAGCTTTTAAAAAAATTCTCTATACGCGCTTGACAGACAGTGTATTAATTGGCCAGTCTTCACAAACTTTACATATACTTAATGCACTGTTGACGATAATA